CGTCATGGGCATCGTCTGTTCCTGGGAGCCTGGGCTTTGACACCTGATGGCAAAGCGACCAAGGGAGGAAAATGCTGGGATCGGTGTTTCGCCCCGGCATAACACGTGGAGAATCCAGGGAGCTGACAGCTGTGATTTCTTAGGCTCATGAGGACCTGGTGATTGTCTCTGGCATCTCTAAAACTGCAGCTGTATAACCTCCTCTTTTTTAGAGGGCCATAACGTTCTGCCTTGTTCAGGGATTCTGCAGCCTCTTAAAAATTAAACCTGCCTCAACTACCCTATCTGTCCGAGGTCCCGTCTTCCTGGGGGAAATTTGTGCTGGTGAAGTTCCTTGATCTATTCAGCCTGTCTAAATCCTTAAGGATTTAGACAGGCTGGTTTTGTTCACCCAGTACGCCCGGGTGTGTTATACCATGCTCTCTTCCCTCTGTGCTAGGGGTTGCACTGGTTTTATTATACTTGTCCAAGCCAAGCAGGTGCCTGGGGTACCAGTCATCCCAGGTGGGCCCTAGCCCTTAAGAGAGCCTGGCTTCCATTTCCTGCTCCGACACAGGCTCGCTGCATTACCCTTGGGTGAGTCACCTTGATCCAGATTGGGACGGCATCTAAATTCAGTAGAAGTGAAGTGGCTACATACCTTGATGGGTCTAGACCTTGTGGTGCCTCGGGTGTTGCTCGACCGGAGGGTGATTATCCTAATCTAGAGAACGAAGCTGCCCGCGCGTAGCCCACTTCAGAGCTGGGGACCGGAGCGTGCGAGTTGGTTATTCCCGTTTCACTCCATTGCATGCCTTCCTCTTAGAAAGAAGATTGAACCTTCAGCCTAAGTGTCGTATTGGTTTTTCTTGGGATTAAAAATTTGCCCAAACTTCAGCTTTCTTAACCTGCCTGATGTCTCCGTGAAAGCACTGCTGGATTTGCTGCTGTCCTGCAGAGTCTAGGAAAATTGTGTCGTCTTACCTGCAGCTGTACGGGATTCGGACTCTTTTTCTCTTCCCTGCTAGAATTCAAGCCGTTAAAGTAAAAAAAAAAAAAAAAAAAAAAGAACAGCAGAGAGGAAAAACCATGTTTGTCATGTAGGAAACCACAGGTTCCCCAAGCACGTGAGGTTGTTAATTGGTTTGCATCACAGCCTTGCTCTGTGTGTGTAACAGACTTCCCTCCACCCCTTAATAAAGAGAGCTAAGGACTTGAGAAAATACTTGGTGTACTAGCAAAGCCTTCAGGATTAATATTATCTTCAGCAGGGCAGTGCTGCAAAATGCATTTCCTGTGCTCCGTTGGGTCAGATCTGTGCAATAATTAGAGAAAAGGTTTGAGACCTGAGCATCGTTGCCCCCTCTCTAGCAGGGGCACGGCCGCTGCCTGGCATCTCCGACCATATATTAACAACCTTTTATCGAAGTAGGACGTTTGTGGCTTTCCCTGCGGCAGGTGTGGGGGCGATGTCTTGTGTCGGGGTTGACCATAGTTTTGCAAAGAGGTTGGATTTGTCTGGGATGGTTCGGATAGGGATGATCCTGCCTCGGGCGGGAGGTTGGACTAGATGTGTCGGTCCCTTCCAGCTTGGCTTCTCCGTGATTCTGCGAGATGTATAAAGTCACCACCGTTCGCGTCTTTTGGAAGCGTTGCAGGATAGGTGCATCGCTTGACTTCCGGTGGAAAGGTGCTACAGGCCGCGGCAGCGCAGCTCGTGCTACATCCAAGCAGGTGAACCTCACGGGGGTGGGGGGGCCGAAGCATCTCATCGAGCACGGAAGATCCAAGGGGAAAGGGAAGCTTTTGTCTACTTGATAATTTCTCTGATTTTTAAGATCTTCAGGACCAGTTCAGATCCCTTCCCTGTGTTGCTTAGCGACGGTCCGTTTTATTCCTTAAGTAGGAACTTGAATGAGAACATGAGCGAGCTTACAAAAATAAAATAAAAAAGTTCTGCTTTTATTGCTTATCAGCTAGAAATGGTCTGTAAGTACTTATTGTTAGAGGGCTCGGCCGACATCTGACAGCGGGGCTGTAGACTGCCTTGGAAACCCTTTCGTGTTCTGTTTCCATCTGCGGGCGGGGAGGAATTATAACTCGGACCTCTTGAATAGAGGACCGCCAAGAACATGTTCTCCGCTTCGTGCCGAGACTTCGTTCTCCCTAAATCATAGAAGTTGTGGAGACGTCCAGCTGGGAGGGACCTCCGGAGGTCATGTCCAGTTGTGGGCCCCCCACTACAGAAAGGATGTGGCAATGAAAATGGTTCAGGGGTTGGGAACATGACATGCAAGGAGAGACTGGGGGAACTGGGCTGATTTAGTCTGGTGAAGAGAAGACCGAGGGGGATTGAAAAGCAGCCTTCAGCTCCCTGCAGGGGGGCTGCAAAGAGGTTGGAGCTGGACTGGTCTCAATGGGGGCAGACGACAGGACAAGGAGCAATGGGCTCGCTGCAGCAAGGGAAGTTGAGGTTAGATATTAGGAAGAACTTTTCCCCTAGGAGGGTGGTGCAGCACTGTAGCAGGTTACCCAGAGAGGCGGTGGAGTCTCCATCCTTGGAGGTTTTGAAGACCCGGCTAGACAAAGCCTCGTCTGGGATGATCTAGTTGGGGCTGGTCCCACTCTGAGCAGGAGGTTGGACTGAATGTGATGCCCTGAGGTCCCTTCCCACCCTCATTCCTATGATTCTATGACCGAAATATTAAAGCTAGATTTTCTAAGGATGCAAACCTTAGTCCCTCAGACGTACGTTAAAAATGAAAAAAATTCCCTGCTTTTCTTTCTAAGGAAATAAGATATTTAGTCTCATCACCTCGGCATACAGCATGTTGGACAGCTGAATTCTTTTTCTTTTCATTCTGATTTTTTATTAGAAGGATCTCATTAGGGGGTTTCATACCGCCGTGCCTTTTAAACCCTGCCTGGATCACAGCTGCAGTGCAGATCTGAGCATTGCAAGGAAAAAAAAATCCTTTCCCAGACCCAGTAAGAAGAAATGACTTTGCCAAGGGGTGGTCTGATGCCAGATTTGAGGTTTTCGCAAGAAAATTCTGTTTCACCTTTCTAGGCTGCAGACTTCCCGACGTGCTTAGCTGGAGTCGTCACAAGGGTCTTTGCCTCAATACGTCGAGGATGGGGTCTACATTTCTCTCTTCTCTGAAAGTTCAAGTTTCCAAGTGTAGGCCCCGCGGATAATTGGCTGTAACCTGGATGGTCTCGTTGCGTTATTGCTGGAGCAAACATCTGCTGAACTGACCGCTGGTTTGCAGCAGCAGGAAACTTTTTTGTCAAGTAGCGTAACGCAGACACCGCCAGCTTTGGCCATGACCGACCGTTTCTCCCGAGGAAAGGCCCGAAACCCTGGTGCATGGTGGAGGGAAGTGAGAAGAGCTTCAACTGAGCCTCATTGGGCTAAAGCATAACTAGTTGCAGGCGTTCTTGTAGTCCCTTGTTTCCCATGAGATGGATTTAAACCTCTCGAGTTGGGAAAACAGCAGCGGAAATCTATCCTCAATGAGTCAGAAAATAAATCGGAGCAACCAGGGTGGATCTAGAGTCCTGTCAAGGTCTTTATCTTTTGTTTTTAAAATTAAAGAGGGAAAAAAAAAAAGCTGTTGGAGAGGGTTTGAATGAGTTGTAAAAATACAGGAAAAGCCTGGTTAATGGAGCCAAAAGAGATGCTGGATATTGAACCAAAGCAACTGTGATTCCTCTCTACAGAGTTTCCGAAGGTACCCCTAGATGGGGGAAGACAATGGGAAGAAAACAGCGGGGAGAAAAAAATCTCCCCATTTAGATATGACAGGGAATTGAAGACCGTGGATATGTAAATGGTAGATTAGTGAAATGGTTGCTTGGCTTCTGGTTTGAGAGCTGATTTTTTTTGGTACTCTTTGCGTGACCTATGCAAGTGCGGAGTGGGAGACCCAAGTGGAAAGCCTGCTGGTAAAATGCACCTGTCCAGAGGACATTCACTGCTTTATTTTTTTCCCCAAAGCAAAAGATAATAGTGTTTCAATCATTCACAAATCTGATGGGTGGTTTGAACTATGAGAGCTATGAATGACGCACGCGATGCTTACATTAAAACCCGGTCATGATGAGTTGCAGGCTCGTTTATAGCTTTAGCTCGGTTGTTAGAACTTGGGATGGGCATGCGTTTAAAAAACAAAAAGAAAGTGATTGTGGTTGACATGAATTCACAAATAAGTAGTCTGGTATCACCAGGTTTTTAGTGTCGCTGGAAAATATTCCTGCTCCCGTACTAGCCATGAGAGTTGGGGTGAATGAATGAATGACTGACTGACTGTCCTACTGCTTCAATGACGTCTTTGCAAGTAGTAGCTAGATCAAATGCTGGACCAGTAGTGCCGCTGGTGAGCAAAGAGCTCCTTGCTGGTCTGGCGCTCAAGCCCAGATCGATGCCAGGCTCCGTCAGCTTGGGATTTAAAGGGGGTTACCAAGAGCTTTGATTTAAATCAGAGTATAGTTTGTAGCCATGTTGGTCTAAGGACATAGACGGGCAAGGTTCTTTGGGTAAAGCTGGTATCTTTTATTAGACCAACTCAAACAGTTGGAAAATTTTTTCTTTGCAAGCTTTCAGCCTCTATTTAAATTGGGCGCCTGGACGTTTCGCACAACAGACCCAATGAAGTTGCACGCGGATGCCAGGAGCTCATGAAAGCGCGTGGCTTGGATGGTTTCATTCATCCGCTTGAGACAGGAGCATTGCGACCTCCTTCCCATCCTGCTTCTTGCTTTGGAGAATCTGGGAGCCTGGCTGCAGCATCCAGAGACGTTTCTAACAAAGATTTATCTTCAAAGCATTCCCATCTTGCCCGTTCTTATGCTTTGCAGATGCATGGGAGCCTGTCCTCCTTTTCCCAGCCTCCTCCTTTACCGTGTAATCTTACATGTGTTTCCAGGATCATGGTAGCAATAATATTGGCTTCAGTTAATTTCCTTTCTCCCTAATCTTTTCCTGGACAGTTTTTTTTTTTCTTGTCAGCATTCTGTACGGAGGTAGAGATGAAGCGAAGGCGCGCAGAGGTCCCGCGCCTGGCGTATCCTGGATTAAAGACCAGCACAGATGTGTTCAGCTGGAGACGTTGAATACTATCGGGTATGAGGCCTCATCTTAGCAGAATACGAATATGAAAGGAAGGTGGCAAATAAGTGTTGTCATAGAAACAAATCCTGTTCTGATTGGGGACCGCTGGGAATTCTGCTCTGGACCCAGTCCAGGTGACATCCCTTCACTGGTTTCAGGTGTTTCCTTTGTGTCTCTGCTCTTTATTGGCAAACGGCATCTAGCTCCAGTTGTATATTCTCCAGGCTTATAGCTGCTGAGTGCAGAGGATTTTGTCCCTTCCAGAGAGACAGCACACATCAGCTGAGACACGGTGCTTCCTTGATTTCTTGGTGATCTCCTATGGATCACGCATCAGATTATCTCCTGGTCGTTACGGCAAACATGTCTGCTAAGTTTCTCCTGATCCTTGGAAAGGTGATTAGCCCTCTCCCAGAGCAGAAATATTTCTGTCCTGGACTAAGCACAGCTTATTATTTCTACATGCACAGCTGACGTCAGGGGAGATGAACAGCAAGATTTAGGGGATGACACTCAGAAATGTGTGGTAATCAGCCACACCTTGGCTGTTGGGAACTATGAACAAAGTGCCCTCTTGTCCATCTGGATCTCCAAACCCAGGAGCAGAGGTAGCAAATGATAGCTCTCAAAGGTAGGCAAGCTTTTGCACCGTCTCCACTGCCTCTCAGAACAATATGAAAAAATTGAGAGATGCTCCTGCCTTCCTGGCTGAAGAAAATATAGGTCTTGAACCTACTTAGCGTGGAGTCTCTGGACTTCTCGGTCTTGGGAAGTTTGCTATTGCACAGACAGGGCCAGTGTGATTGCTGCTTTTGTGTACCCCACCAGAGACCTTGGCAAGTAGTTGGTCCTCCTGGCAGGCACAATCTGTCATTTAACTGCTGTGTTTAAACCAGGGAGATACAGCCTTGAGGTCCTGCAGGAGGTGGAAGTATCCTAGCAAAAAGGTGGAGTCTGCTGTACAAAACAAGGAAGTCTGTGTAAACTCCAACGCTAAGTGCTTTGAGTGTCCACCTTATTCCAGCCCTGCAGGGTCGGGGACCATGACCTTGGAGACTTATCCTCTGCTTTAGTCTTGTGTTATTCAGATCAAATCTCTGCATTTTGATTTTTTTAGAGAGGGCTGCCATCTCCCATCATTTAATATGTGTGTTTGTATGTATAAGCATATGTGCATGTATAGATGCACATGTGTATGTATATATGTATATGTATTTACATGCATAAGCATAAGGCTTTATGCTTGCTGGATGTAGCAGGCTGCCGGCTCGCAGGAGCTACAGCAATTACGTTCTCGGGCAGTAAGAACCTAATTGCAGGCTTGCCCAGGAGGACTGGATCAGCTGATAAGGATAACTGGCTGGCCCTGAGGAGGTAAAAAGCACCCAGGGAAGGGAGCGAGAGGGAATAGGGACTGAGAATGAGAGTGTAAGAGTCAGACAGCTGGAGGGAGAGGGATGGGGACTCTCCCAGTGTCTGGTAAAAGACCTCAATGAGCCAGGGAACTCACTCCAGAGAGAGAGGAAAGACTGCAGTGCTGAGGGAGCAGGCACTGCAAAGCCAGAGGCATCCTCTCAGGGTCTGGGAACAGACCTTAGGCTGTGAGTTAACCTTGTATTTGGCCATGTCTTGGTTTGTCTGCTGATTGCTGGCTTATACTGTGTCCCATGGGGCCAGTGCACCCAGGAAAATAAAGACTGTGCTGAGAAACCCGAGAACCTGCTACACGCATGCATGTATGCTGTTAGTATGCCATCAATTGTTCTGGCTCCAGAAGCTGACCTGGAGGAATCGAAGGCAGAGCAGCGCCCTGTGCCCAGTGACTGACAGGTCTTCCGGGTCCAAGCTACAGGCAGGCTAAATTAAATGATCCTTTGTTTCTCAAGGACAGGAACACTTTAGGGAAGCAGAGAGAAATTTTCTGATTTACTGGTGACTGTCAAGGTCTCAGAAATGGGATTCGAATATAAAAGCCTCCATATCAGGCTCTAGGTCCATCTCGCCCAGTCTCTGAGTCTCACTGGGTGCGTCTACATGTGCATTTATGTTGCATTAAATTTACTGCACAGTAAGTTAGTGCGCAGTAAGCGGAAATAGGCCGGTGTCTACATGTGCAGGCATTAAAGCACATTAATGCTATGTGTGGTCTGACTTAGCACTCAAGTTTCATAGATTTCATAGACGTCAGGGCTGGAAGGGACCTCGGAAGATCATCGAGTCCAGCCCCCTGCCCCAGGAGCAGGAAGTCAGCAGGGGTCATAAGATCCCAGCAAGAAAAACATCCCAAGTTAGGCCCAAGTCAGTCCACACACACAGTGTTACTGTGCAGTCAGGCATCTATACATGCATTACTGCGCAGTGTCTAATCGGGCGTAAATTTGATATTTGCAATCATGCAGGTATCAAATTTACACCCAAGTCAGCATAAGTTGTCATAGTTACTGCACAGTACACGTGTGAATGTGTAGACGTGTGCCTGTACTGCGCAGTCATTTTTGGGTACTGCGCAGTAAATGTGTACATGTAGATGCGCCCACTTTGGCAGAGCAGATGCTGAAAGGGAGAACGAAGGGGTTTGGCCAGGGTTTCTTTTTTCCCCACTGTTCCTCTCTCACTTGTGGCCTCCAGCATTTAAGGTCTAGGATGCTGAATAAAATACCTCCGCTCTGTAAATCAGACTCTAAGAACCCGCGTATCATTCTCTCTGACGTTTCACCGCCTCCTTGATGCTAGAGGAAAAAGGAGATAACTTTTCCCAAGGTCCCTGTTTGTTTCTCTCTTCTTTTTTTTTCCACTACATCGTGACCTTCTGGATTCAGGCAAGTGGAGAAGCGCTCCAAAAGACGAGAGAGATTTGTTCTAACCACATTTCCAGCCTGTAAATGAGCAGGGCTGGAAATCTCACAGTAAAGGCATTTTTTCAGAAAAATGATATCACAGGATGCCTGTTTCGGGTGCTTTTACATGCTGGATAGCTTTCCCATCAGGCATTTTTCATATCAGTAAGAGGGTAGAGCGTGTAGATATCTCGCGGGCAGCGTGTTAGCCTCTTCCTGTAGCAGCAGCAGGGGATGAAGGAACATGGTTTTGCACTGGATCCAAACAGCTTTACTTGGCGCGTGTCTTGTGCCAGAAATTACAAGGCAGATGAGTTCATTTCGCTGCCTCTGGACTGTGAATCTGGGTCTTGGCTTTGTACGGCGGCTCCTTTCATTTGATTGTTTCGTTTTTATCTGGGGGGTAGTCTTTGTGCATCCTTATAAATAATTAACACTGCTATTAATTGTATGCGTTGGTGCATGCAGGGAGGGGAAAAGGGAATTGTTCTTCAGTCCTACAAACTCTGCGCTGAACAAAATGCAAGAGAAACTGGCATTTCCTGTTCTCTTGCCCCTTTGTGCTGCTTTATTTTAACATTACAAGGTGATATTTATGGCCAGGAAATGCCAAACCTCTCTGGTGGATGCCCACCGCCGATCCATGTGTGCGAAAGATCTTTCTTCTTGGACTGTTTCCCTCTTTTAAGACGTTAAAATTGCCAGGAGTTTCTCCATCCTATGGAGTCTCTTTTAAAATCAGGATTGGATGTCTGTCTGGTGAGATGCTCTGATTTCACAATAAATTGATGTGCAAAATCAGCAATTGTGAAAGTTTTTTTTCAGGTACCACACTCTTACATGTGTATTCATAGAAAAATCATAGAAAATTCCTCTCTGGTGTCTGTGTTACAGATAGGAAAAAGAAGTAATGCTCAAGTCACTACCTCCATGCTGTGATCTCTCCAACAGCCTAGGAGAGACTGGAGATTGATTCTTCATGCTTTCTTTCTGTTTTCCCCCCTCCTTTTATAATTGCTGGTTTCCTTCTGCTTTCTCATTTCTCCTCCACCTGCATCCAGTAGAAGTTCAGTGCGTCTCGCCCGGGTATGCACACCTCTGTTTGAGAAACACTATGAGATGCAATTATCACTGGGTAAATGGGCAGCCTGCGTTACACAGGGGAGGTGAGACTGGCTAATGGTCCTTTCTGGCTTTGGACGCAGCATCAGAAAAATCTATGAATCTTAATCCAATAGCCAGCAGCACATCAAGGCAAAGAATAGTAAGTGTCACTCAAGCTGTTGACATGTAAGAGAGCAAAAGTGAACCTCTTCTACACGATGCATAAGGCAACGGCTGCAACCAATTAAGTTTTATACCCTCAAGATATTATTAGTTTCATTGTTGCTTGCTGAAGTTACCACGTGGATTTTACCGTTCTCAGTCGTCCTCTGCTGCCTTGACTCCATTTAGCGTTTGCTGTTTTTGTGGCTTGCTTTCGTTGGGAAGGGGACCTGCCAAGGAGCATTGACAATAAACTTTGGGGTTGCCTTTTTAATTGACTTCTGTCCGTATCTGCTTTTCACTTCAGTTTCTTTTTCCCCTTGGAAATATCAGGCGGGTCAAGTCTGACGTTGGCTGCTTTGGTCCCCCTGCTTTCCCTGGGGCAGGTTGGGCTGTTATGTCTTGTGTCCTGTCAGTGTCGACAGGAGTTTTCCTAAGAGGCTGGACAATGGATTTGTCTGGGATGAAGGAGCTTCAATAGGCCACGCAACAAGAGGCAGCTCGGAGGCTGGGCTGTGGACCATGACTCATTTCCCCATATGCTAGTAGTTAAACCGATCAAGTGTCTGCTCTGCTTGGAGAGGAATAGGCAAAAATCACGAGTGGTGAATTAGTCGCGGCCTGCGTTGTCCCAGTCGCTTTGGGCATCTCCTTGCAAATCAAAGTGGCAGTGCCAGCCCCTCACTGTCCCCCTTTAAAAATTGAGCAGCGTTCCCTTCATTCATGGACAGCCTTAATAAAACCAGTTTCTAATAGAGAACGAAGGGGGCAGGATTTTTAGACCCTACTGGGAAAATTTGACTGTATCCGTCTCCTGCCGCCACCTGCCCTTTGCAGAAAAGCGTTTGTGTTCGGGTCGGGACCAAAACTTTTGGAATGAGATCGCGTCTGTTCGCGCAACATCTTCCTGTAGACAGAGCCGCCGTATGACCCGCATTTAACATTCTTTGTGCAAGGAAAAAAAAAAAAAGGCTTGAATTTTAAAGGCATTTTCACAGCGGGAAGCCGGCTTCTGGCAGCATGGTTTTACATGGAAGCAATGTGTACAGAGGCTTACTCGTTAACGTTAATGGGAATTTATATGTGCAGCCGAAGGGGAGAATAATATACCCCTTGATGGTATGAGCACTATGTTGTTGCTGAGTGTCACGCGGGAGAATTTCAGGAACGGCAGCCGGCGAACCTAACCGTGAGCTCTATGGCATGACAGAGTATTTGCTCAGACAGTGCCCATCGCAGCCCATGCACCTGCCTCTCTCGTCTCCCTTCCATCCACGGACAGGAAGGAAGAAGAGAGACTGATGGACAGGAATGTGATGGAAAGATAGTTCTGCTAGAGACTGAATATACTTACCCATAAATATGTCCAGGGATAGAGGTCTGTGATGTAGACAATGTGTGCCTGTGTTGTGTGTGAACACAAGACTTCAGATGTCTAGGAACAGCAATCTGGCTGTCTCTCACCCAGCACTAAATCCATCACAGAGGGCATGTCTACACGTTCAATTAATGCGCTTTAGGTAAGGCGCATTAAATCTAGTACTTCCATTATGAGGTACTAGAAAAATGCACGTTAACCTATTTTAATGCGCCTTGGCTAAAGAGCACATTTTTGTGGCGATTTAATGCACATTAAAATAGGCTAATTCGCATTAAAGCACACATGTAGGCGCACCCAGAGTGACATAACTCAAGGGTGGGATGTAGTCGCATTTGTATCTGCTGGAAACCTGCAGGCCTTTGTCCATCCAAGGGAATAATCTAAATGCTGTAATAAAACACTACTCAACTCTCTCAAGCCAGGTCAGGTGAGGTCTCCATACCCACCCTGCAAGGTATCTGGGGTGGAGGGCAAACGGCTCTTCAGAGGGGCGGTATCTGCTGTCTGACGCTTGTTTCCCTGATTGTAACGCGCTCTCCATCCCCTCTTTGCAGTTGACATGGATGATGAAGATGGCCGGTGCTTGCTAGATGTAATTTGGTAAGTAGCACCACAGCTGGGACCAGAAACTGGGGCCTGCTCCATAGGACTGCTGGGACGGTCGGTGGAGTTGTGGGGAGGGAATTCCCATCCCATTCCTTTCTGCACCCATTCTCAGTCCCTTGACTCCAGGGGATATTCCCCGTAGTCTCTTCTGTGTGGTTTGGCCTCCCTGGCTTGCACTGCAAGATCCCCGTGCTTTCACCATAAAAACCCCTCCTAGGAACCCACTGCTGCCGTACTTATTTTGTATGGAGAAGCTCTTATTCCTTTCTTTTCCTGACATCTCTCCCAGACTGTGATCTCCCAGAGACAAGGCCATTTCCTCCCCTCCTTCTGTGTGTTGAAGGCAACATGTTGTGGGCTTTCCTAAGAACACACACAGTGCGAGACTGGGTCAGCCCAGTGGTCCATCCAGCCCAGTATTCCCGCCAGCAGCAGGGGTGGATGCTATACGGGGAGAGCATCAAACCAGGTATCCCTAGAGTGGTCTATCTCTTCAGTACCACTCCTGGCATCCAATATTTATCGGGTTAGAGATGCCAGAGGAAACATCTCCAACTGTTGTGTTCAGCTGCCATGAATAAATCGATCCTCCATGGATTTACCCATTTCCTTGTTGACCCTGGCTCTGGTCTCTGCCTCCACTGTCTCCTATGGCCACGGACTGAAAAAGTCCTTTCTCTTGTTAGTTTTAAACTTGTCACCTGCTCATTTCAGTGGGTGCCCCCTGGTTCTAGTGTCCTGGGACTTGGTGAGCAGCACATCCCTGGCCGCTTGGTCCGCACCTTTCATGATGTTGTTAGGCCTCAGTCCTAACCTCCCTCAGCCTGCTCCTTTCCATACAAAAGGGCTCCAGCCCTTTTTAATCTCTCCTACCAGCTGCTCCAGGCCCCTGATCATGTTGATTGTCCTTCTCTGGACCTGTAGACAGACTCACTTCCAAAAATAACAGTTTATGGGGAACATTTATAACTGCCTGCAAAGGGGCCCTTTATCGCCTCTTCCTTCCCTTTGGATTTATTCAGGTCCCCCTAAATTCTGGTTTGGATGAGACCAAAATGTCCGGTGCAGGTTAAATTCTGTATTGGAGTCCTAACCCCCTAGCCTGTTGGAAAGTGCTTATAAACTTCAGCAAAGTGGGTTGAACCTGGTTTCATGTTGTGTTGCACCATTGTTTTGTTTGTGGGTTGATTATACATATACATCCATGCACATGCATGCACGCGCGCGCGCACACACACACACGTGTGTGTGCATGCATGCACACATGTATATGTACATATATGTGTACAAATGTGTACATGTGTATAGATACTTATATGTGTATATATAGAGCTAGATATAGAGAGAGAGATATGTACATACCTATATATATATATATATATATATAGACACAGGTTAACACACACGCATGCACACGTGCATTCACACATACACTTAGATGCACACATGGACACATTGATATATGCATGCATGCACACATACACACACAGATATACACACGCATCCACATGCACACACATACGTATATACACACACATATGTAAACACACACACACACACACACACACACATAGCATCATAGTGCTTAGGGTCAGAAGGGACCTAAACAGATCATCAGGTCCGACCCCCTGCCCCAGGCAGGAACAGGTGCCGGGGTCATATCACCCCAGCCAAATATCTGTCCAGCCTCCTGTTGAAGACCCCCAAGGTAGGGGAGAGCACCACCTCCCTCGGGAGCCCACTCCAGAGCCTGGCAGCCCTAACTGTGAAGTAATGTCTTCTGATGTCAAGCCTGAACCTCCTCTCTAAGACTTTGTGGCCATTATTCTTAGTAACCCTGGGTGGTGCCCGGGGGAACAGAGCCTCCCCCAATTTCTGCTGGTTCCCCCTGGTGAGTTTGTAAATGGCCACCAGGTCCCCTCTCAGCCTTCACTTGTGGAGGCTGAATAGAGAGAGAGAGAGAGATCGATATATCTGTATCTATAGATAGATAGATAGATAGATAATAAAAATAAAATGTGCATGTTTATGTGTATTTTTTCGTTTGTATGACTGAAGGCTTTACAGGAAAAATAGGCCTTCTCAGCAGATTAGCTGTGCACATCCTGTTTGTCATCGGTACGGTGCAATGCATACGTGAGTGAAACTGATCTCTGGGGTGTTTTGCCAGTAACTATCAGGCCTAAGCATGGCATATGCTTAAAAACATACTGCTGTAGTCAGTCTCGAAGCATCTCAGCAAAGTGCTGGGAGGGGGGCCTGGCCAGAGCTGTCATCACCACTAGTTAGGGACTGGCTCGTTAGCTGGTAGCCTGAGGTGAACTCAGAACAGTTAATGTTTTGACAAACGGCTTGTTAACAGCAATGCAGGCTAATTTTCCAAAAGGGATTATTGCGATTATGAAACTGAACTGTTACCAGGGGTTTGGTAATTAGGACTCTGCAGAAATAACAGAGGAAGGAGAGTAAGTGTGTGGTGGTGACAGAGGAGGAAGAAAAGGAAAGAAAGAAGGAAAAGAAAGAAGGAATCCTATGTATAGTCTGCAAATATGCTATACAGTCTAAAAAAAATGCTGTGTATAGTCCAAAAACTTGCTATACATAGTCTGAAAATATCACTAGGTTATCTTGTTTGCAATAAACTATATGTAAACCTCTAAAACAGGGCATAAATCTGTGTGCTGTGGGTCATTTAGTCTTAGACATTTCAAATCCTTCCTACAAATTTTAAATTTGTAAAAACACTCGTCTAGGGTAAAGGACCTCATTGTTTTTATTCCAAACGCATCCATGCTGATGCCGTTCTTGATGGCGATAGAGCTGCCTAATGGCTCCCAGGTCTCCATTAACATGTTTCACGCACAAAAAAATGCAACAGTCCTCACGGTCGAACATGGCAGGTTTTATACGACTCCTGACGGTACCACGTACGTGAGGAATTACCGGTCGCAGAAGAAGCAATATTAACTGGTGGTGCCTGCCGCTGTAGTGTAGCTGTGGAGTGAGTGGGATCCCTTAGCAATAAACAACGGATATTTTGGAGTGCAAGAGGACCCTTGGTTTTATTAATGCCTTCATTAGAAACATGTATTTCTTTCCAGTTTCCCACTTAATCTCGTGTTATTGCTACATCAAAGGTGCCCCAATGGTCGGTGTGGCCTTGGGACCGACTCTCGCGTGTTCTCTCCTCATGCCAATGTCATGTGTTGTTTTACAGTGATCCACAGGCCTTGAATGATTTTTTACATGGATCCGAAAAGGTGAGCCTGGGCTTGAGGGTTTTTTTTATTATTGTTATTATTATTTTATTAACCACAGTATTCAGGTTAAATCAATGTATTTTTTTTGAGGGTGAGCAATAAGTGATAGGGAGCATCTCTGATTTAGAACTGCTTTGGGGTGCAAGGCGCTCTCTTTTTTTTTTCCTGGAAAGGGGGATATGGACCACGCAGGGGGATAGAGGCTGAAATTTTGTCATCGCTGAGTCCTGCCGTGCTTATAACCAAGTCAGTAGGTTTCTGTATGAACCCAGGGTTGCTGCCTGCCCAAAACAATCGATAAAACAAAAGCCTGAAGTTAGTCCCGTATGGGTAGGGGTCAGGAATCCCCGTCCTCTCGTTATTTTTTGATTATTATTTTTATTTTTATTTTTTGGTACCCAAGCGCAAGAGATTGGGCGTCTCTCTTGGAGACTGACCAGGATCCACAGCTGCTCCCCCCCCCCAAGACGCAGGGGCTTCAGGTCAACTTGAAGGCAGGGGACAGTGTGAATAGGAAGCCCACCTGCCCCTGCCCCAGCCCTCGCTGCTCTGTGGATAGGGAGATCATCCATGCTCGGTGACTGCCAGACAGCCCTCCCCCGAACCCGATGCTCTTTAAATAAATGACATCTTTTCAATTACAGATTGACAGTGATGATCTCCTGGACAACACAGGAGATGCAGCCAGTGCCTTCTTTGAAGGTGCTGGGGTATGTATTTTTGGGGGTTTTTTAACTTCTATTTTTTCCAAATTTTACTTTGGGAAATCCATTTCAGAAACCTGTCCTTTTTTGGGGGTTTTGTTTTTCTTTTTCTTACGTTTTTTTTTTTCCCCCCTCCTCCCAGATTTTTGTTTTTAATCCGTTTCCATCATCCGTAAAATAGTCAGGGTTGAGGGAACATTTCCCGAGGTGTTAGAGAAAAGTGGCAGCAGGAGAAAGATCTGAATGTTTTCACCACCAACCCCATTAAGTTTGTGTTCAAGTCATAACATTGGGTTCATATGTGCTCATCTGTCTGCTTTGCTTTTAACCTGGGGGAAGCTTTAGGTCAGAACAGAGAGGAGAGGGAGGGGAAAAGGAAAGTTTAATGGGACTGTCCTTCCTTGGAGAAAACTGGGGTGAAGGCTAGTTAGCGTTACAAAAAGCTTGTAAGCAACATATCAGTTCTATAGATAGGAAATATCAATGATGCTATATTAATTGCAATCATGAAATATCAATGATGCTGCAGAAATCTAATGAGTGACATGGATAATGTGTTTTATTCCTGAGCGTGCTATCCACCTTCACATTATAACAGAGGCCTCAGTGTCTATTTTTTGTCTCCTTTCCTGCTTACATTTAAATTTCAATATGTTTATGAAAGCCTCTGGTGCTTTGTAATACTCATTGGAAAATCCCAGGAGTTCAAATTTAAATTTCAGATTCTTTCTAATTTTCTGGGAGTTTCAAATGCAAGTTGAAGCCAAAGACGTGAGCAGACATACGCATGCCTTTCTGCTAAATTATCCCAGCATCAGAAATGGACAGACATACCCCATGTGAGATGCCCCATCTCTTGGGGTATCTCACATAGGTGACAGCTATTTCAGTGCCTGGCAATGGGAGAGCAAAGAACATTTCTTCTGACCACGTCTCCGCTTTTCTCCTACAAAGTATTTGTCTGTCGAGGTGACCGTGTCTGGCATGAAAGATCAAGCTACACGCTAATAGTTTCTTCATGGTAGTATCTGCCTTGCACTAAGTATTTTATAAGCCATCAAGAGCCGTCGCTGCTCTGAGCCATTTGTAGTAAGGACAGCCAATATATACATGAATGTAATGCACATTTATATCTGACTGAACTTAGGATCGCAGGGAAATAGCAGCCCTCTGTCCAAGGCAGGATCACCCCTGATTAAACCATCCCAGCTAAATATCTGTCCAACCTGCCCTTGAAAACTTCTTGGAAACTTAATGGCTGATAGAAAAACAAAACAAAACAGGGATGTTCTGTTCCCTGGTTGTGGAGTAGAGAGCTCCCAGGTCCAAACTGAAAATCAGGGGATTGAATCAGACTTCCGAAGGAGGGTGCGTACCTCCTCCTTCGTTCTTGCCATTGCATCCCCTGTGGTGCTGGGCTGCGGGTAACAAGTACTGGTCTATCACCGAAACCTTTCCAACAACCAAAGAAGTGTTGTAGAAGTGTCCTAGGCTTTCCCCCCCTTATTCCTCGATGCACATTAATCCGTAGAGGGCCAACGGATTAATATGGCAGCTCTGGTTGGCACTTCTCTTTTCAAACCCCCAAGGCAATCTGGTGCTTTTAATGAAGCAAAGGGACTACGAGTCTGCTCTTCTTGGCTTCTACTTCTCTGCCACTGACTGGCCTCATGTGACGTCAGGCAAGTTGCTTCTTCTTTTGAACACCACCGTGGATTTGCCAAGTGCTGTTTGGGGACGCCAAAAAATGCTTTATTTGTCAGGCAAATTGAACCTAGGGCAGATCCCAGAGGCAGCGTGTAGCTCAGGAATGGTTTAAACTTCTGTGTCTCCCGCTTGCGTTAAATGCTGATTTCCTTCTTCCCCCACCCTTCCACCTTCCAGCTGCACGTGCAGGAATCTTCCGGCAATCATCTGAGCACCGAGCAGAACCAGCCCACCGCCAGCGTCGACCTCGACTTTCTGGAAGATGACATCCTGGGGTCTCCCTCCGGCGGCGGAGGGAACCTCCAGAACTCGGATCAGCCCTGCGACATCCTCCAGCAGAGCCTGCAAGAGGCTAATATCACGGAACAGACACTGGAGGCAGAGGCTGAGTTGGACTTGGGATCCTTCCAGCTCCCGACGCTTCAGCCCGTGGTTCAGACAGCTTCGGACGGCACCCCACAGATTTTCCCCAGTGGGGCTGACCTGATTGGGCTGCAGCAGCCCGCCGTGCTGACCCATCAGGCCCTGGTGCAGCAGTCGGTGGGGGCCGACGTTGTCAACAAGGCCATCAGTGTCCAGCCATTCCTCCAACAAGTGGGCTTGGGGAATGTGACCATACAGCCCATTTCCAACATCCAGGGCTTGCCTAACGGCAGCCCGAGTGGAACGCTGGGCATCGGACCCATCCAGGTGGTCGGGCCGCAGGTGATGGCCATCAACCAGCCCACTCAGCAGATCATCACAAAGCAAGTGCAGCCATCGCAAGTGGCCACCATGCCCGTGGGCAGCTACATCACACAGACGGCACCTGAGCAGCAGCAGGTCACGCTCGCCTCCACCGGCGTGTCCCCGCAGAGCGCTGGCCTCGTCATCCAGAAGAACCTGCCGGCGGTGGCCACCACGACGCTGAACGGCAACTCCATGTTCGGAAGCGTCTCTGCCGCCCAGGGCTCCCAGCCGCTTACCGTCACATCCAACCTCAGCAGCTCCTTGGTGCAAGCGCAGAACGTCATCATCCACCGTACGCCCACGCCCATCCAGCCCAAGCCGGCTGGGGTGCTGCAGCAGAAGCTGTACCAGATCACCCCCAAGCCTTTTGGCCCCAACAACACCACCTTGACCATCCAGAACGAGGCGGCCCTCCAGCAGCAGAAAGCCCAGCAGAACCTGACCTTCATGGCGGGCAAGCCCGGGCAGAACGTGGTGCTCTCCGGCTTCCCTCCAGGGCTGTCTGCCAACATGTTCAAGCAGCCGCAGCCGCAGCAGCAAGCTCTGAGCAAGCCCATGAGTGTCCACCTGCTCAACCAAGGAAGCAGTATCGTCATCCCAGCCCAGCACGTGCCCCAGGCCATGTTACAGGGCCAGAACCAGTTCCTTCTTCCGGGGCAGCTGGCCGGCGCCTCCGCCGTCCAGATTCCCCAGCAGCTCTCGGCTTTGCCGGCGAACATGGGGGGACAAATCCTCACCACCTCGCACCCCAGCGGCCAAGCCCACATCATCACTAGCCAAGGGCCGGGCGGCCAGTTGATAACCAATCAAGCGTTGCCTGCCCAAATCCTCACCAACCAGAACATTGCCAGCCAGTTGAACCTGGGGCAGGTGCTGACCTCCCAAAATGCCCATGGCACTGCACACATCCTCTCGGCCCCCATCCAGCTGCAGCCCGGGCAGGTGGGGCAGCCGACACTGTTCCAGATGCCCGTCTCGCTCGCGGGCAGTTTGACCACGCAGAGCCAGCCCTCCCTGGGCAGCGGCGCCATCAACCAGTCGGGGCAGACTGTCATCCAAGGTGTCACCTTGCCGAACCAAGTGGCGATGTTAAATGCCACGGAGAACCTCAACCAAGCTGTGAGCATCCAGGCCTCTGCCACCACCAGCAGCCAGAGCCCTGGGCTCATACAGCCTCAGGCCGCCTCGGGCGCCAGCCTGCTGCCAGCCAATGACCAGTCCTCCATCCTGACCGTTCAAACCGCTTCCCAGGCCCCGGCTCCCCCTCAGCTTCAGCTGAACGTGCAGCAACAGCCTCCTCCGCCGCCCCCGCCTCCTCAGCAGCCAGCCCAGCTCCCGGTGACTTCGCAGCCCAGTCCCAGCTTGGCTTCCAGTCCAGAGAAGATCCTCTTGAGCCAGGCAGCTGCTGGGAGCGTCATCAACCAGGACTCCATGCAGATGTTTCTGCAGCAGGTAAGCAAAGCCTGTAGTAACTGGCAGATCTTTGGCATTGCTTGTTGGTTCTCTGTCTTGAGAGGAAGACAGAAGGCTGTGTAGAAACAGAGAAAATGAGGGCTGGAAAGGACCCCAGGAGGTCACATCTAGTGCAACCCCCTGCTCCAAGCAGGACCAGCCCCAACTCCATCATCCCAGCCAAGGCTTTGTCTAGTCAGGTTTTAAACACCTCCAAAAGGTTTTTGGAGAGTTACTGGTCTCCCTTTTATATACACCCACACACCCACTGTAAAGAGTGCTTAATCACACCACTTCCATATTTTTGTAAGGCCCCCGCTACACGTTACATATATCACACACAAGCCTAGTAAATCACGCTCTAAATATAGACCAGCCACAAGTACCAAGTAATGACCATGCAATTAATTGGTTAATCGTGCAATAAATGCAGACCAGCCACATGTCCAAAGTAATTATCACATGATAAAAAGAACTCCGGCTATAAAAGAAAAACAGAGCTGACCAGCTGCAAAGTTAGCGCTTGAAAATGTGGCACAACTCTAGAGCTGGTTTTGATTCGGCTTTCATTTGAATGGGCCCTGAGGGAAGATTTCAAGATCATCCTCCCTCAATAAAACCGTTCACCAGTGGTGGACGTTTTAAATTAAACCTATTTGAAGAGGCAGCAGCTGGGCCCAAGGGGCTTGGTAACAAGTGCATGGCCTTTCATGGAGGATGGCATGGTGTTGCCATCTGCTGTGTTAGCACCTGACGAGCGTTTGGTGGCTCATACAGAATGAACAGGTCAGTCAGCGGGACAGTCATCCCGGTCATGGAGACTGCGGTCCTGGCTGGTAATCTCGTTAACAATACCTCACAAATGAATGAGCTACCGTGACTGAGTTTGAACAGGTGGAGATGCTTTTGTGTGGGGGTGGGAGACTTGCCCAGCTATGGAGACTGTTGATGGCTAAGAGTTGAGTTTTTGGTCACCTTCCACCATCACGTAGTCAAGACAGTTGGAAAGTGCAGAAACATGGATGCTGCTATACAAAAATGGCAGCGTGGGCAAAACTCTTTTTGCCTTTAACGGCGTGGTACAAAAACTCTTACCGTGGGCACACTTGTTGCAGCTGCTCCACACTGCATGTGGGCCGCGGCAGCCACGAAGGAGTGCGTACGTACGCTGCCAAAAGTGCAGACGCCAGGCCTGTTATGCCTTCTCATATCCATTTACATCACCCCAGATCAGGTGAGGCCGTTTGCTTCTCTTGCCTAGCCCATTAACACCACTGTCGTCTTCTCCTCCCATTTCAAACCAATCCTTTGTGCCTGATCCAGACAGACTGAAGTTGCTGAAATAACATAGACTTAAGAACTGCCATTGACTGGGTCAGACCCCAGGTCCGTCTTGCCTGGTCTGCGGTGTCACACAGCAGCAGAGGCTGGAAGGAAGAGTGACCAGGTCTGAGCAGGGTTTTCCCCTTGTTCCTCTCCTTTGCAGCCTCCAGCGTTGAAGGTCCAGGGAGTTACAATTTGGAGGCCGTGCCCCTCGCTCCCATGCTCAACGGCTGCTAACACCCCTTTCCACCAAGAGTGTCCCCAATCCCGTTTGAGTCTCGGCTTCCACCACATCTGGTGGCAACGAGCTCCGCTCTTTAATTCCACACTGAGCAAGAACGAACTTCCTTGTGCTCGTTTTAAGCGGACGGCCTGCTCCTTGCATGCTGTGATCCCTCATTCTTGTCTCGTGAGAGATGGTAAATAATAAATCCCCGTTGACTTTCTCTTCTCCATTTAATATATTGTAAACCTTTGTCCTGTTCCCTCTCCAGCGTCTCTTCTAAATTGAACAGGCGTGACCTCATTAGTCTCTCGCTAATCATCCTTGTTGCCCTTCTCTGGACCTCGCATTCTTCTATCTCCTTTTTGAGGTGCAGGGTCCAGATCTGGGTGCAGTATTCGAGGAGTGGACACACCATAGATTTATAATTGCCTAGACATCGATCAAGAGATGGGCAGGGCCTGCTACTGATGCCCCATTTCCAGATGACCTGACATTCCTACTTGTCCCTCTTCCCCCAAAAAAGACAGTGGGCTGGATTTTACCTCTGGTAGAAAAGGGTGCAAGGCTATGCCTAGAATTGGAGTGTAGGCCTGGATTTGTCCTGGTGCTTAGTTACCAAATCCAAAAATAGCATCAGCTGTGATTTCCTTTTGTTGGTACATTTGTCTCCATAGATGTTCCTCTGCAGCAGAATATAGTCACTGCAGAGTTCGCCGAAGTGGGTTTGATCTTGACAGTGACCCCTTTATTAACTACGGGAGCATCGTCTTCTGTATCCTGTCTTCTGGATGCTTATCTTGCTGGGATTCTTTGACCCCAGCTGACTTCCTGCCCCTGGGGCGGCGGGCTGGACTCGATGATCTTCCAAGGTCCCTTCTAGCCCTAATGTCTATGAAATCCCAGTTCTTAGTAAAGAAAAATGTCCAAGTGTCCCCAATTCACTTTGGCAATACCGAGGAGCCCCCGGATTCTCTGAAGGAAGAAAAACCCACGCGTATATCTACCGTAAACAGCTTCCCACTTGCCCTGCATGCACCTCGCTCTCCGAGCACAGGTCGGGAGTGCCAGTTACAGCTCTTGGTGTCTTGATTTTGAGGCTTGTGGTTTGGATTTGTCACCTGTCACTTGCAATTCAAATATTTCCCTGTCCCCCCCAAACATCTCGAGCTAGGCTCTTCCAGCGCAGAATAAAGCAGTGCGTTGCTCCCATCAGTGAGATATCTGGGTAGGTAAAGGATGTCTCTGTAAAGCAGTTACCATCTACATGGAAAGAGCTGTCTCCCTTTTGGTGCAGTAGCTTGGATCAGCCTAACTGTGGTGCCAGGGAAGAACCCCCAAAAGCAAAAGACCCGTATCATAGAAAACAAGGGGCAGAAGGGACCTCAGGAGGTCACATCTAGTGCAACCCCCTGCTCAAAGCAGGACCAGCCCCAGCTACATCTTCCCAGCCAAGGCTTTGTCTACTCGGGTCTTCAAAACCTCCAAGGATGCAGAGTCTACAACACAGAATCATCAAAAATTCAGGTTGGAAATGACTTCAGGAAGTCACATCTAGTCCAACCCCCTGCTTGAAGCAGGACCTTCCCCAACTAGATCATCCCAGCCAAGGCTTCGTCTAGCCGGGTCTTAAACACCTCCACAGATGGAGAGTCCACAACATAGAATTATAGAAAATGGGGGTTGGAAGGACCTCAGGAGGTCACATCTAGTGCAACCACCTGCTGCAAGCAGTGCCAGCTCCACCTATTTCATCCCAGCCAAGGCTTTGTCCAGCTGGGTCTTCAAAACCTCCACAAATGGAGACTCCACCACCTCTCTGGGTAACCTGCTCCTGTGCTTCACCACCCTCCTAGCGAGAAGAGTTTTTCCTAATATCCAACCTCAACCTCCCTTGCTACAACTAGAGACCATTGCTCCTTGTCCTGTCGTCTGCCCCCACTGAGACCAGCCCAGCTCCATCCCCTTTGCAGCCCCCCTGCAGGGACGTGAAGGCTCCTATTCAATCCCCCTCAGTCTTCTCTTCTGTAGACTCAATGAGCCCAGTCCCCTCAGCCTCTCCTTGTGCATCACGTGCCCCAACCCCTTAATCCTTTTTGTTGCCCTCTGCTCCAGGGGTTAGAGCAATGCAGAGCACTGAAAAGATTTGCTGGGGTAACCTGTTGCAAAGCGCTGCGCTAGCGGCAGCCACAGCCTGCCTGCGCAAGGGGGATGGAGAGCGAAAGGGAAAGGAAAGGAGAGCACCGTGAATCTGGTCCATGCTAAATTTGTTGGCCATTTCAGAAGGACCGGAGCCAGCAGCAGCAGCAGCAGCAATTTTATCCAGCCACCCTGAAAATGCAGCAGGAGAACAGTCTGAATCAGTCCACAGTACCACCACACCCGCCAGTGCCTCTGCCCATCTACAGCATAGCCACCACCGCCCTCAGCGCCACAAGCAGTGTCCCTGCCTCGGTGATAGTCAGCAGCAGTGCGGGCACGGCCCTGCAGCGGGACCTGGGCCCCAACCAGAACCTGGCCCCGGCCGAATCCAAAGGAACGACCCTTATACCTCAGTTCTCAGCTGGCCACCCGCAGCAGGCGCTGCCTTGCCAGGTAGCCCTTACCTGTCGTGCCCGCCCGCCTGCTTCGGTGTGTCTTCCTTCTCGCTCTCCCACTGAGCTTCTGTCTAATTCGTTCAGTCTTTCTCCCGTAGAAGTGCCCCTTCTGCTTTGTGCCTTTCTCTGTCTCTCTGCCGGACGGGAGGAAGTAAAGAGATGCAGAGAGAAAAGACTAGCCTCTCTCTTAAGTAGCTGCCCGCGTCTCCCCACATTTCAAAGCAAAGGTGGAGAAGTGGGTGGTGGTGGAGTGACCTCTGTAACAGCGACCAGAGCTGCCCCCTTGCGGCCGAAAGCCGGAAGGGTGCCCAGAAAACAGCTTTCTCTGCTAACGATGGGCGCTTAACGAGGGCCAGACGCCGATCGCTAGCAGGGGTGCCTAAGCCCGTGGCCAGGGAGCGTGACCCTGGAGCTGTGGGCTTCTGCACGCTGCCCCGAGAGGGGGTTTGGCACCGTCTCGGTGATTAAACGGAAACAGGAGAACGGCCCAGCCCTTCGATTCTTCCGTGCAGTGAGCCGGGAAGCAAAGCAGGGTCAAGGGCAGAGCTGTTCTTATGCCTGTTGCAAAGGTGGTTCAAATATAAGGACTAAGCTGAGCTTTACAGCGCGCCATTTCTATGTGACACATGCATCTATTTGTAATTGTGTGTGCGCGTGCGCGTGTAACTTTGTCTGTAGTATGTTAAAACATACTGCATGTGTTATTACATATTGATATATATTATATAGATACATTCTGTGTTTGTATATTATGGATATATTGCACGTGGATATATTATGTCGACGTTACATATATTATTAATAGATTGTATATAGACACCATTCTATACACACTATATACATAAACACACAATATACATGCATACGTATATACTTGTGTACACACACGTATGTATGTGTGTATGTATATATGTATGCCTGTATATAGATCTATGTATGTGTATGTATACATATATGCATGTATATATGTGTGTATGCTTTGTGTGCGTGTACATGTTGTGTGTGTGTGTGTGTATTGTATACATTATACACATATGCATATAATGTGTATATATAATGGTGGTATCCATTAATCTACATATAATTGTGTCTATAACAGAGGTTCCCAAACTTGCGGACCCACTTCCAGATTTACCAGTTGCCCATGTACCCCTACCAGCACATTTTATATTTTAACCCCTTACATGCCAATTATTATGATGATGATGAAAATTAAATCTTCAATTACACAATTTATCCCACGTACCCCCCCGTCGAAATATCTTGCATACCCCCAGGGGTACATGCACCACAATTTGGGAACCTCTGGTCTATAATATATCAATGTATTATGTATACATTATTAATAGATGGCATATAACGCAATTATACACACATGATATGCATTATGTACACATACACCACACACACACACATATATATGCATGTATATGCATATATATGTGTGTATATGCCTGTATATCTGTATATATAAATGCATATAATGTGTGTATATAAATGTGTCTATATCAATAATATACATATAGTATATGGGTAGAGCTGCAATTTTATGCATGCACACTTACAAATAGATGTACATATATCAAAATTGTGTGCTGTGAAGCTCAACTTTGTCCTTATATTTGATACCAGCCAAAACACTTTTAAAATAGACATAAGAACAGTTTTGCTGTTTACCCTTCTTTTCTTTTGAAGATGTGTGTGTATGTGTGTGTGGTCTGCTGTGATTCAGGATGTGTGTGTGTGTTAGTGCAAGAACCTGCATTGCTGTGCTTGTATGTGTATGTGCTCTGCTGTGATGTAGGATCTTTGTATGTGTGTGTCAGTGCAAGAGCCTGCATGGGGGGGGCGGTGTATGACTACAGAGTGTGTAGGACCTTCCCATAACAGATGTGTGTGTGCTGGGGCAGAGATGGATGGGATGAGGTAACAAGAAGTCTCTTTCATCTCTGATTTCCACAATTCTAATAAAGCATCCAAATTCAGGCCATCTGGCTTAGTTTCCTCACTGGTCCCCCTCCCACCCCCTCTCCCCACAGCTAGGACAGGGGATCCAGCTGCACCTTTGTTTTTAAAATAAAAGCAGCTCTGGTCCTCTTCCGAGGACATCCTAGGGACAAAATGGAAAGGCCTTCATGGTTTTTCCATCTGAGAGAAAGCAGTAAGAGGAGAGGGGGGAGCGACATGCCTGGCCTGTGGGATGCCGAGTTGTGGTGAGCGGGTGGTCCGGGATCTCGGCCACCAAAGCACCGAAATGGACCCGGGTAATTTATCACCCCCTCAGCACGGGAGCAGAAGATGGGAGCGAGCAGCTGCTGCCAGGCTGCAACCGAGTCCGGCCTTTAGGCGCTTTTTAGCCAGCACGTGAAAAAATAGCACGCCCCGGGCAGCTGCTCTGATGGCCGAGGGAATCTCCTTTCCGTCGGCATCTGCAGCAGGATTGACTCTTCCCCTTCTCCCACGTCCCGCCCCCCATTATCCGGCTCTCGTTGTCCGTCTGTGGCACTTGCCAATCCGTCTCCTCTCTGCTGTTCTCTGCTTGCTCGCCTTCAGGATCTCACTAACCCTGGAAGCTGCTGCTGCCTTGTCTTGCTGCTTCATTTCCCCCCCACCCCTCTTTTTTCTGTCCCTTATGCGTGCTGCTATCCTGGTACTGTCCTGTCCTCGCCAGGGCCTTTATCACCCATTTATTCACCCATCGGAAGCAGTCGGTTCTCATAACGGCCGGAGCCGACACGCAGGCGGTGCATCCGTCAGACCAAGCACGCAGCTTTATTCTAGATCCGTTTCACCCCTGTTGTGTGGTCTAGAAACAGGAGTCTTAATGAGGGTTAGCACTGTTCGAAAATCCCACGTAGGCTGAGCTGATGTGCTGTGCTAACACCGCTGCGCTATGCAGGGTACCGCTCCATTTCAGGCTGGGTTTTTTGGGACATCTAGATTATCTCTGGCTGGGAGAGGAACAAAGCCAAGGGCACGTCCAGTGCTGTGTAGGCCAGGACTGGGGAGCTTTGGCCATATTCTCCGTAGCTGGAAGCCAGGATGCAGAGGGGGATACATACAGTTGCAGCAGGGAGGGATTTGAGCTCTACTTGGGTCTGGAAGGGCAAAAGGGGGAAAATGACTGTGATATAAAGGGTAGTAACTCCAGCCCTCGCCTGCTACAGGGAACCTGAGTCACAGGCATCATATTTATAAGCAAACTAGTGCAGACCCTGCCGTCCGGCACCAGCTGCATCAGCTTGCTTGGCTTGGAAGCATTTTGGCAACACCCAGGGTTAGCGAGACAGGCGTCTCCCGGGGTTCACCCCTGCGTAGTGTTGTCTGCTGATTTAGAAGCATTTTTCCAAGGCACCTCCCAGGGTTCACCCTTGCATTGCGTCTTCACTGATTTGGAAGCATTTTTGCAAGCCGTCCGGGCTCTGACCAGCTGAGCTAGCCAATACGTGCAATGGCTGGCCATGGTCTCAGAGCTGCCCCTGGGATTCTGCTATCCGTTGGCACTCGTCAGCCCGAGGAAGTGCCCGCTGGGAGTACAGGAGGGTGAGACCCACAGCTCAGTTCTTCAAAATCTTTTAGCCGTGGGAGAGGACACCCTAGATCTCTCTGGTGGCTGCAATATGACTGGGATGACGGGGGGGCCTTCTAGACCGATGGAGCAGCTGCAAGGCCACAGGAGCCTGGCTGCTGGCAATCCCTATGCCCCCCTCCGCTAACATCTTCTCCCTCTTTCTTTCTTTCTCTGTTGCAGTTGCCTGCGGGGCAGCAGAAGCTCCCTGGTGCCTCCCCGTCCCATTCGCTACCTCATCCTCCCATAGGCGAGAGCCCTCAGATCCAGCCCGCGCACCTGCCCCAAATGCAGTCCCCGCACCAGTCCCGCCCTCCGTCGCAGCCCCAGCCCCTCTCCCGGCCCCCATCGCGGCCACACTCGAGGCCCCCCTCCCAGCCCCAGACGCTGTCACGGCCCCCGTCAGAGCCCCTGTCTCGCTCCTGCACCCCGCAGACCCAGATGCAGAACCTGTACGTGATCCAGAACCAGATCACGTCGTCCCCGCACGGGCCCACCCAGCACCCCCTGCGGCCTCCCTCGCAGCCTCAGGTCCAGTTCCAGCCGCCGCCGTCGCAGGCCGAAGGGCAGCCGCCGCTGGCGACGCCTCCCCACATGCAACTCCAAGTGCAGCTGGCTGCCTCCATCCAGCCCCAGGCTGAGCCCCAGGTCCAGACCCGGCTGCATTCCCAGATCCAGGCACCCGCCGAGGCCCAGCATACCCATTCGCCGCACTTCCAGCTTCAGTTCCCTTCCCAGGGCCAGATCAAGCCCCCGACCCCGACCCAGACCCTTCACCTCACCCCAGAGCAGCAGCGCAGTTTTCAGATGGTTCCAAACCAATTCCAAACCCTGACGGCAATTCCAAATCCCGCTCCGCAGCAGAAGCAGCTACTGGACAGGTTTCAGCAGGTAAATAATGACTGTAGAAGTGGGGGGGAGGGTCGTTCGCCTGGGCTTCGGTCTGCAGAAATAGCACCTCCCTGTCTTATAATCAAAAACACCATATTTTCTCACATATAACGCACCTTCCCCCCCCTCCCCCCAAATTTCCAACTGCTGGAAATTGGACTGCACGTTATATGCAAAAAATACGGTAAGAGCAGGTTTTGCTGCTGAATGGGTGGAGTAGAATCTGCAGCCATCCACAGGGAGCAAAACATGTGCCCAGCTCCCAGTTACTTGCTGCATGGAAAGATCCCCACCCCCTATCATTTGGCCTTTCAAAAAACCCCTGCATATTATATTCCAGGGCATGTTGTGTGTTGGGAAATACAGTAGAAAGTCCATGGGTATCAGGTACAAAAGACAGCTCATAGGGCTTTGGAAAAAATATACCACCAGTTTCTAGTCCCATCATGTTACAGCAGGGTTGGAGTGCTGTTGTAGCCGTGAGGGTCCAGGAAACATGCAACAGGGGTTTTTTGGTGATATATTTTATTGGGCCAGCTAGATAGTCAGGTATCCTAGAGAAATTGCAGGAAAGTCAGGCTGGAAGGGACCTTGCAGTCATCTAGTCTAGACCTTGCTCAAGGCAGGATCATCCCTGACTAAACCATCCCATATGTGTGTGTGTATTTTTTTTTTTTTTAATACACAAAAAACCTGCCTTGAGCAGGGGTCTGGACTAGATGACCATATAATCTATCTTGGTTAGTCTATAAAGTGCAAATCTACACTTCCTTCTGCTTGACTTCAGACTAACAACTACCTGCGTGTTTAAACTATCCCAGTCACGTGTCTGTCCAACCTGTTCTTGAAGATCTCCAGGGATGGAGACTCCCCCACCTCCATGGGCAGCCTGTTACAATGATCAACCACCCTCGGAGCCAGGAAGTTCCTCCTCATCTCCCACCTCAGTTTCTCCTGCTGCAGTGTGAGGCCGTTGCTCTTTAGTCCTGCCACAGAGAGAAGCCCGTCTCCATCCTCTCTCTGAGGATGAGGGCACTCTGTGCCCCAAAAGCGCATGTAACATCTCTCCCAACTATACCCCTAGTCCAATACAAAGATATCACCAAAGAAACCCCTTGCTCCTGGCTCAGCTCCAAATCACATAAGCCACCACTAACAAGGTGAACTGTGGCTGTCCTCCGTGGAAAACCTACATTGTCTTGGTTGGTTGGTTGATTCATTTGTGAAGCTAGAAGAACTCTGTGGGAAGCTGGTTGTCTTCATCGTTGCATGAAGCACATCGTTATCAACCTCTAGGAAGCAATGTATCCCACCTTGGCCGTGGGTAGATGGTTGTCTTCATAGTTGCGTGAAACACATCATTGTCAGCTTCTAGAAAGAAATTCATCCCACCTTGGCCATGGGGAGCTGGTTGTCTTCATCACTGCATGAAGCACATCGGTGTCAACCTTTAGGAAGCAATTCATCCCGTCTTGGCCATGGGTAGCTGGTTATCTTCATTGCTGCATGAAGCAGATCATTGTCAGCCTTTAGGAAGACGTTCATCCTACCGTGGCCATGGGTAGCTGGTTGTCTCAGTTGCATGAAGCATGTCGTTGTCAGCCTCTAGGACACAATTCATCCCACCTTGGCCTCTTTGAGCTGCTTTCAGTTGGGCCCTTTGTCCTCTGTTGTTTGGAAGACAACTGACCCAATTAAAGGAAACAACCCTATGCAGCGTTTGTCGCCTCTCAGACTCGGGCTGCTGGGGAATCACTCGTGATCCAATGCACAGACCCATGGAGAGAATTATTATTTTTTATTGCCAGGGAGATGAAAGCAAACCCTTGCCCCCTGAAAAGCAGCTTGGGGGACCCACAAAGAGCAGACAAAAAAAATGAAGCAACCCCACCAGGTTCTGGCCTGTGGCACTGGGGAGTGGAAGTATTTCTACCCTGGCCCTTAGGACCACATCCAGTTCATATACATGCTAACTTCATTGGGAGGTCCCTTCTGAGACACCTTTCCCTTTCTTAAAAAATAAGTGAAACACTTTCCTTGTTCCCTTCGGAGAAAAAAACCTGAACTCAGTTTGTTCTGTTTCAGCAGCTCATCCATTAAAAAGGACTCGGTCTGGACCCTTTCAAGGGCACGTCTAGGCAATTTAAACTCCGGACACCCACAAACCTGGATGCTCCCAAGGCTAAGCAAGTTTTTTTGTTCCCTTGGCATTTGCATCCAAGCTTTGTGAAGTCCAAGGGGAGGGAATGAGATGGGAGCCAGGGCACTTGATAGGGCAGGGCCCCTTTCTTCCCCGTGTCGGGGTGAATAGAAACGTGGATGGCACAGAGCAGCCAGGACGAGTTCTCAGCCTCTGCCTTTTTGTCCCACGCAGGTGCCACAGGGAATTATCCTACAAACCAAGCAGCAGACATCTACCAGCCAGGCCTCGTCGGCGCTCAGCCAGTTCAGCAGCCAGCCCTCCTCTGTCCTGGTGAACACCCAAGGGCAGCCGGTAGCAGTGACAACGACGCCGGCACCGGTCCACAGCCATGCCCCAGCACCCGCCACCGGCCAGCCGTCCACTGCAGGTTCGAACGCGGCAGCTCGTGTGCTCGGGAAGGGCTGAGAGGCAGGAGGAGGTGGAAATTGGGGGCAACGGGCGGGCAGTGCAGCTCCCTACGCTGTTGCATTGATGGTTATCAAAGCTGTGCCACTGAGCAGAAGCCACCCAGGGAAAGGAAATGCAGTTGTATGTCTCCGGGCCTGCATGGCACTTAAAACCCAGAGGTTCCTGGCTAGAGGGTCTTGCCTTCTACTCAGGCCCAGCCTGATCACTGCATTTGGGATCAGGAAGGAATTTTACCCCATGGCCAGATTGATATAAACTGCAGGGAGGGGGTTACCTTCCTCTGCAGCAGGGGGCACAGCCTCTGTCTTGGATCCTTTGAGTGCCTTTTACCCCCCCCCGGTTCAGTGGCAGGATGCTGCCAGTCCCCGGCCCCTGGCTTCACTTGGGCAAGTTCAGGTGCTCTTGGTATCTGCGGGCAATGGGCCTTGTAGCGGTGCACAAGAGTTGGCTGCATAGTTTTAGGAATAGGTGAGACTGGGACTTTTGGATGAGGCGGGGATCCTGCCTCGAGCAGGGGGTTGGACTAGATGTGCCCTGCCCGGCCATGTGTTCGGATTCTGAAATCCTCCAAAAGAAGGCAGCTCGTTTCTCATAAGAACGTAAGAGCTGCCATTTACTGGGTCAGGCCCTAGGACTGTCCTGCCCAGTCTCTGTGTCTCGCAGCGGCAGAGAGCGGAGGCTGGAAGGGGAGTGAACGAATCTGAGCAGGGTTTTTTCCCCCTGTTCCTCTCTCACATGCAGCCTCCAGCATTTAAGGTCCTGATTCAGAGGCTGTATCCCTCACTCCCATGATTTATCATTATTGATGCCCCTTTCCTCCAAGAACATGTGCAATCCCTTTGTGACCCTGACTGAACTCTCAACTTCCACCACATCTGGTGGCCATGAGTTACAATCATAGAAAATGAGGGTTGGAAGGGACTGCAGGAGGTCACATCTAGTCCAACCCCCTGCTCCAAGCATGCCCAGCCCCAGCTACATCATCCCAGCCAAGGCTTTGTCTACCCTGGTCTTCAAAACCTCCCAGGATGGAGAGTCCACCACCTCTCTGGAGGGAGCCTGTCCCAGTGCTTCACCACCCGCCCAGCGAGAGAATTCTTCCTAATATCTAACCTCAGTTTTCCTTGCTGCAACTTGAGCCCATTGCTCCTTGTCGTGTCATCTGCCCCCGCTGAGAACAGCACTGAGTTTCACGCTCCAGTTACACTTTGATTCACACCTCGGGATGTTTTTGATGTTCAGTCGCTTGTATGCAAAGATCCACCTCCTTCCTGCGGGTGCTTATTGAAAGTTTATCCCCGTACCTTTCTCTCACATTGGGGTCTTTGCCTCTTGTCTGGGCCAGATTCCAGTTTGGATGGTTGAATGCTACTACCCCGCTTCAGCCCCCTGCATTGCTATTCAGTTGGATTAGGGCACAGGTTGTCTTCACTCTGCGGACCTGTTGAGCTTTGGAGTCGTTCAAATGCTGAATAGCCAGCAGAGGTGGCTGCATTTCAGTGGACAACATTCTCCAAAGTGCCTAAGTCCCCTGGTCCTCTAACTGACTTGGATGGAAAGCTTTGCTCAGTACCTTGATCCAGCCTATAACGTGCTGCAGGATTCTCCAGGATGGAGCTTGCTATGTGAATCTGACACCGCTGTTTAAACTTGAACCTGTATTTGAAGCAATGACTGTATTTTCCATCCCTGCACCCCTCCCACCAGGTATCACTGCTTCTGTTCCAGCGGAGAGCAAAACATTTTCTACTGGCTCCACGACTATTTCCGTGGGGAAAGTAGCGGCGGGACAGGGGAAGCCCGGAGCCACCTTTGCTCTTCAGGTGAGAACGCTTCTTCTCCTCAAAGGCTTTGTCCATTTTGAGAAGGGTGGCATGAAGTTTTACTCCGGGGTTGTTGTTCTTGTGGGAAACGGAAAAAATGCAGCCTGCCAGAAAACATTTAACTCTGGCAGAAACTTATTTGTGTTTTAAGTACAGCAGTCTCTTAAAAGACAAAGGGGAAACAATCCCTCATTCTTATGCTAACGAGACCCGGTGGGGGGGGGACAGGGAGGGGGTAGGTGCCTTGTTCCTTTTGCTTCTGATTTACTTAAGGGCATGCCAGTCCTGCTAGGACCTGCCTTCTAGAAGTGCAAGGTAAAAATACTATATCCCCAAGACTCAGATATTGGTGTCTGAGCAACAAGGGGGTTCAGTGGGAACATTTTTGCTCAGGGCTGACTTGGTGTGAGCAGTTTCTGGCTGTGTGTGTGTGTGTGGTTTTTTTTTCCTTAATCAAGTTGGCCTCCTTAGATTTGCACTGGGATCTCTCACAAATGGCAGCTTTTTGTTTTGCTCACAGACCAAGCCCGGGGTGATCAGCTCCGTCTCCGGACTGAACCTTGGTAAAGGATCCTTGCAGATTCAAGTTGTCAGCAAAGGATTATCGCAGCTCATGCCTTCAGTCCCGGTCCAAACCACGCAGCAGGTGAGCGTGCCCCTGTAGCTATTTATACATCAGAGGTTTGTGAGAAGCTTTTGGGAGGGCGGGGATAGCAGTTGTGCTGGAGACTGAAATAGTTGGGGCTGGTCCTGCTTTGAGCAGGGGGTTGGACTAGATGTGACCGCCTCATGTCTCTTCCAACCCAAATTTTCTCTGATTCTCTGAACACAAGCTGGGTGCTCCTGTGTAGATTAAAACTGACCTAGAGGCTTTTTCACATGTTCCCTTTTCTCTTCGTGCCAGTATGACAGTAAACTTGGAAGCCTGAAAAAACCGCCTACACTACAGCCCAGCAAAGAAGCATGGTAAGTGTCCCAGAGACCGAGGGCTGAAGCTAGCGGCTAGACTAGGTTTAACAGTGCATCTTGCCATCATGCAAGTGCCAAAGCCCACTCTTTGTTATGGTGTATAGGTATCAATTAGCCGTGGCGGAGCTCCCTTTGAGGATGCCTCTCTTGACATGATGTTTTACCTTGGCGTGGAAATTGGTGTACATGCAGAGGGGCCAGGGCTGACACAGCCAACAGCAGACTGGGTTGTATTAACAGTATTGTCCCTTGCAAATCAAGGGCAGTGATGTTTTTGCTTTGTTCGGCACTAGAAAGGCTTCCCCTGGAGTCCTGGGGTCAGTTTTGGGCCCCATGCTTCCAAGAAGGACGTGGACAGGTTCGAAAGAGTCCAGGGCAGAGCAACGAAAACGATGAGGGGTCTGGGAGAGAAGACTTATGAAGAGAGGCTGAAGAGCTAGGGTTGTTTAGTCTGGAGAAGAGAAGACTGAGGGGGAGGGTGGTCACGGCCTTCAAGTGCGAGCCATGTCGGAGAGGACGGAGATGGGCTTTTCTTCAGGGTCGTTGAGGACAGGACGAGCTGCATCAGGGGAAACTGAGGCTGGAGATGAGGAGGAACATCTCCTTCCATCTCCTTGGAACAGGCTGCCCAGAATGGTGGGGGGTGTCTCCATCCCTGGAGGTCTTCAAGAACAGGTTAGCTGGTTTGGGCTGGTTTGGAGAGGGGTGATCCTGCCTTGAGCAAGGGACTGGACTAGATGTGACCTTGGGAGGTCCTTTCCAGCCTGACTTTCCTACAATCCCGTGATCCTATGACACGCAGCAAAACGTGCCAGGGAACGTTTCGTGTGGAATTTTTCTGGGATGGTTTTCCTCCGGGCATCAGTTGTTCTGTCTCCGGTGCCCCCTACCCTGAGAGCACATGTACTTGCATGCATGCAGCCACCCCTCTGACAGGGGGCAGCTCTGGGTGAAGTTAGGTTGATGTGTGGCCTTCCTGCCCGTGGCATTTCACACGTGCCGCGGCTGCCCGTGTTCGCTCTAAGGACTGCTGTGCTTTGTTGCTGTGGGAAGGATGACACCGTTTTATCAATTCAGATAAATTACATTTTCCTTAATTGGAGAAACTGTGTCATAATCTCATTTGGCGGCCCCTGGGGGAAACTTCTCTAATTGAGTTATAGGCCGTCTAGGTCACGTTCCATATGTCGGAAGACCCCGCGTGATCCTTTTGCCACGAGGTGCTCCATCACTCTGTCCCAAATGCCCTTTGACAGCTATAAAACACAGAGGATGAGCAGGGGGTTGGTCATAGTGGGGGGGCTGCCCAAGACACACGTGTTGTTGTGTGTTCGGCTCATATACCGTGAGGGGGAGGAAGCTTTGGAGGTCCTCGCAGTGCTGCAGTGGGTCTAAGCAGCCCATAAATGTCACGAGGAGGCGCAATAAAAATTTCCACCATTCAGTTTTTATGGGCAGCTGTCTTGTCCATGCGCTCCGTGCTAGATCTTGACTGGTCTTTCCTCTCCTTCTCTTAGCTTCTTGGAACAGTTGCATAAACACCAAGGAGCCGTGTTGCACCCAGACTATAAAACATCATTCCGTTCATTCGAAGATGCCTTACAAAGGCTTCTACCCTACCATGTCTACCAGGGGATGCTGCCCTCCACCCAGGACTACAAGAAGGGTGAGTTCAGCTGTGAATGCTGGGGGTGTTAGTGGGGAGCTAGTGGCCCCAGGACTGCAGCAAAATGTCCAATACAGCTGAGCCAAGCACTAGAACAGACCAAGAGCGCCTTGGGCCTGTGCTGTGTTTGCATGTAGTAGGTCAGGGTGAAAAATAGCTGCCTCCAGCAATGAGAAGAGAGAAGTTTGCTCCTCTGCTTCCACTCCCAAAAAAGGATAAGCTCCTTGAAACCTGGCACGGTCTCCCGCCTTTAATCTCTCCCAGCGAGATAAAGTCGGGACCATCGCGGCCTTCTGGGTTTTGAAGCTTGCGGATGAGACAGAGGCCTTGTCTGCTCGATACAGGCGCTGACGCTCCCACAGGAATATTCATTGGAGTTGCCGTTTGCCCCGGGTGGCCTTGATCAAGACGTCTCTTTC